GCGTTTAGTAAGCATAAAAATTTAGGAGTCGCCCGCGTGGAGCAGTGGTAAGAACGTTCGCTCTACAGTCGCGGCGTAAGGAGTTTATCCTTATATCGCGGGTTCGAATCCCAGTAGATGCTGGCACAAAAAGATCCCTCACTGCTCAATGGCCCTGGGTGCCGAGTATAAGTCAAAATTTGCAGCTGTCCACCGGCAAGTGGTGGCGTCTCCATATGAGTGAAAAATTCTCGAGAGGGACGTTGAACAATCAACAAGCAAAACAAAATTTAGGAGATCTATTGAGTTTACAATAAATATGGAATCTCTAAAATGGGACCCCTGATGAGGCATATTCTGTCGCCGAAACACTCTACAACTACCATTATACCCATCATTGTGATCAAAATAATATCACCTTAATTCAATCAAAGTGGTTTAGAGTGTCGGGTACTAATAACTCATTATCAAGTCTCGTTTATTGAAAACACCTCATTGCAAACGTCTACTACAATGTCAGATTATGAACACATGGATATATTGAAGGACCAAGTCCCCTAAACCCAGGAAGCAATCATACAGGATCTGGACATGTCTATCAATCTATCTGAGTCCGACAGACCACTGGCAGCAACAAACTCTAAAATCTTGGACTCGATGGAAGGAATCCTATCCAGCCGCTTATTATACGCCAAGCGTAAGGAGAGCATCTCTCATGGATTAAGATCGGTCAGGTTTCTGTCTTGGTTTGTAGCTAAACTCCAACTGTGAACTAACCTCCCAAGAGAGGAAAACACGAATTTTTGCAATTTCTTCAAAGAACTGCAGGAAACCAACACTGCCTTCGGCAACTCTGTCATATCATTTCTGGAACGTTCTATTCAAGAAAAGGAGACAGAAAGCAACAAAGTAAGAGCCGACTTCTTAAAACGGAGACAAGAGGAAACGGAGAGTTATACCTTTATTTTAGAAAAAAGCAGGCTGGACGAGGCTATCAAAGCCATCACCAAGAAACATACAACTGAATTACGGGATCATCGAACAAAACTTCAGACTCTGCCAAGCGACCCGTCCAGACATAGCCACTCGGCAAACAAATCTGCTAACAACAAAGACCATGAAAGATCGAAGAATACCATTACCGGGGCCACCGCTATATGCAGAGGAAAAGGCCTTATTAACTGTCTTTGTGCTATCTGCATATCATTTTCATAGTGACAGACTCTTAAACGATATCATGCCTGATCATATCATTACTGTTTAGCAGAAATTTAATTATATGTCTCTCTACTAAGCTCCACGATTAAATTAATTCATATAAACATCATTGCTATGTCTCGTAACTTATACATCAGTTCATGTATAGTTTGCAATCATATATTACTTTTGTCATTCCTGAGGAAAAAATAATCTTTTAACAAGTATTAATCCTCTTATTATCATATATATTGGATTCCGAAACTTCTTAAAAATTCTTACAAACAAAGATACATAGTGGGTTCCAGTAAATGTTCAACCAAGCCTCTTTCCTTACTCCTCACTAAGATATTAACAGTAGTGAAGGAGAAACTTCAAGAGTACTGTGCAACAATATATTCGAGAAGTGGTGTAAATCAGATGTGGATACTTAAAAATTCCAAGGAACATTTGGAAAATTTGAAATCACAAGATTTTACCAATATCAACAGCTTAAAATCTTACGACTTTTCAACTTTATACACAACCATTCCCCACGATAAATTAAAGTTCAGGCTTTTTTATATCATTGACAACTGCTTTTTCAATAAAAATGGAACTCGTAAATTTACTTACCTTGTCATTGGTCATTTGCAAAATTATTTTGTTAAAAAACTTTTGATTGTACACACAAGTACTCTGACGTTGACATTAAAAAGATGCTTGAGTTTCTGATTGACAATATCTATGTGGTTTTTGGAGACCAGGGGCCCGTTTTACAAAAGAACTTACGACTAAGACCAAAATCTAATTCTGCTTATAACTTTTTAATTTACATAATATTGAAGATGATTTTCATCTTTTTAAAAGGAATGGAGTAAGATATTTTTACGTTCGCAACTTTAAACAGAATCATTAATTTTGCAAAATTTTACAATCAACTTAGGTTTTTGGTCTTAGTCGTAAGTTCTTTTGTAAAACGGGCCCCAGGACTTCCAACAATCTATTGGAATTCCCATGGGTACCAATTGCGCCCCGTTATTAGCGACCTTTTTTGTATTCATATGAAGCAGAATATGTCCAAAATCTTATACGTGAAAAGAAGAAAACACTTGCTGTGGCCTTCAACTCGACATTTAAATATATCGACGACGTATTGTCAATTAACAATGGTTATTTCCATTCTTATGTCGATACGATATATCCCTGTGTGCTTGGGATAAAAGATACCACAGAATCTGACACATCTGTTTCATATTTGAATATTTTACTTGAAAAAGACGTTAATGGTAATCTAACAACCAAGCTTTACGATAAACGTGATGACTTTAACTTTTCAATCATCAACTTCCCTTACTTATGCATCAATATACCTTCATCACCTGCATATGGGATTTATATCTCTCAGTTGATTCGATACGCAAGGGCATGCTCTACGTATGTACAATTTCTAAAACGAGGTAATTTATTGACAAACAAGTTGATGAAACAAGAATATCAGCAGTCTCGTTTAAAGTCATCATTTCGTAAGTTCTATGGTCGATACAATGACCCTATCAGCAAATACATTTTATCATTGAGTCAAATGCATACTGACGTTTTTCATACTAATTGATATGCCATTATTTACACACTGAATAATATTGTCGACGGATTTTTCCGTTATTTCCAGATCAGGACAAGGAGCACACGGCGGGTGTGACCGGTCGGGAGGGAATGCTCACTCCTCCATGGCACCTGATCCCACCTCTGATGTTTTGGAGGTCCCTGTTTGCTCTGCTCCTATTTTGTAATGTTCAATGGACTTTTGAGCTTGAATACTGTTCGTTATCTCCATATATTTCATGATATTAAGACGGATTAAGACGGATACTTTATTATTGCCTCTTATATTACGACACTATGTATATCAGACGGACTTCACATCTTCAAGAAATAATTTCCATAAAATTGATATACATTAGCCATCCATTGGTCTTACTCTTAATCAAACACATCCCCTCCCAAGTGACCATAGCCAATCACCAAAATCTGGCTATCAGTTTCTTTTAGCCACATACTTTCCTATCCTTTAATCTATCAACACACATTGATAATTTTATTTCATCAAAATACTTATTGGTGATCTATAGCGAATCGCTTTACATATTTACCACCTGTTCTATGTCTCGGCGATTAAATAGACGTAGTAAACAATGCAAAACTGCTAAACACACTTGTAATTATCTACCGGATGTTAAAGCTCGCTGTAAAAAAGCTACGGCCACAGAGGGAAAGTTTGTCCTAAACCTATCAAGATACAACTTTTCCAAACATGAACTCTCCTTATTGAGCAAAGGCTTAAAATTCATTCCAAAGTCAAAAAGCGACAATGGTAAAAGCCTACTTCTGAAAGATTTTGAGGAATTTGCCAGAAAAATCAGATGCAAATTCCACTTTGATGCCGGAGACAACATTGCAATTCACCCCTTTAAAACAAAATCTGGCGTTAAACCGCCTTTTACGTGCAGCGAACTCTAGGAATATATATACTAAACAAAACTGGAACTTTCCTAAATGGAAATTGTCAAAAAGAGACCGAACATCTTAAATTCCGAAAAAGAAGCTATTTTATTTCTTTAAAATAACAATTACATTGTTATTAAAAAACAGATAAAATCAACACAATCGTCAACATGAACAAGGATCAGTATGTCTTAAAAGCACAACGCCAACTGCAATCTAAACACTATATGCAAGTTTCTGAACCCAACATGCTCAAACTGCATGAAAACATTCAAAATAAACTTTCCGAAATGCATTCAAATGGATCATTGGACAAAGACGCTTATAAGTTTCTTAATGACGAAAAACCTTCACTCAAATGTGGGCATTTAAACCTTTTACCAAAAACCCACAAAATACCTGAAAACATTTACAACACTTTAATTAATGGTCAGTGCAGCCTTAGAAAATTACCACCTGCTAGACCAATTATCTCGCAATGCGATACGCTAATAAGGAAAATAGGGCAATATTGTGATCACTTTCTTGTCCCTTCTTGTAACATTTCTTGATGTTCTCATTCAAATTTTAGAGAAAAGGTAGGAGCAAAAATCATAAAGGAGATGGGCGAACATAGCGTGCAGACAAATTGTAGCTTCAGATATATAAAAATCATGTTCAATTTGTGAATTTAGTATTTAGAGTAAAGTTCTCATTATTGAAATTTATGAAATTATGATAAACAAAACTTTTCTGAGGAAAATTTTCTCGGCAAAATTTATTATTATTTAAAAAATAATATGGTATTCGTGGGGTTCGAACCCTAGCAATAAAAATCCTGAATGTCCTGAATAGCATGCTAAGCACTAGACTACACAAATCCTGATGAATAGTGGCATTTAAATCATGTTTGTGATATGACCCTTGACTTAATGGACTTAACTATTTCTCGAAAAGATGTAATGTCATAAAAGTATATTTTTAAGGAGGATCTCTACACCTATGAAGTATAAATGATTTTTGTTTCATGCATTTGTTTCTAAGTTATATTTACAGTATTTTGTTTCGTTTGTAAGGGATTTATTGTGCAGAGAGGCGTAGCCGTCGAGTCGAGCAGCGACTCGACGGCCACGCCTCTCTGTATAATAAATTCCTTACAAACGAAACAAAATATCTGTAAATGACTTGTGTCATGGTCATTTGAATATTCATTAAATATTGAAGAAAATAGTATATAAAATCTATTTATAAATATGCAAAGTTTGTGTTTCTATGTGTTCTTTGAAGCACCAAACTGCACGCGACATGACGTCATAAGTCCTAAATGCATAACGTCAAACTGCGCCGAAAGTTAGACCAAGATGGAGCTAGATGAGATTGATTTTTTACAAAGTGATTTAGACGATATAACTCTATCACAAATATGTGAAGTTATTGAAAATGAGGAGTGTGCATTAGAAGGAATAAACGACATGTGTATCGGAGATTTTGATTTCGGATTTCTTTTCGGAGAACAAGAAGTTCTTAAAACTGAGCCACCCCCAGAAACCCCCGAACCACAGGGGAGGTTTGCAAGACCTATAACCGATAAGGAAATAAAGCTTCTCACGGAGGATCAGGAGTGTAAGAATACCAAATCAAACACGAGGTGGGCATTAGGCGTTTGGAGAAAGTGGCGGGAGGAGAGAAATAAACTTTCGTCGAATACCGGTGAGTTTATTCCAGAATTTTCTGCAATGGACGCTACTTGTATGGACTATTGGTTGCAAAGATTTGTCGTTGAGGTTCGCAATCAAAAGGGGAATGAATACACGCCCAAATCGTTATATTATCTTATGTGTGGTTTGCTGCGACATTTGCGTGATATTGAACTATTTGGAATGAACTTTCTTGACCATAATGACAATAGATTTGCACGGACACGTAAAGTACTCGACGCCCGAATGAAAAGCCTCGTAGCCCAGGGGATAGGAACGACTGTGCGACAGGCCGACTGCCAGAACAAGAAGATATTCTATGGGAAAAAGCTGTGCTGGGGCAAAATTCCGCCATTTCCTTACAAAACACAGTTTTCTTCTATGCCTGTAAAGTGTTTGGGCTTCGTGGATGTGATGAACATCGTCAGCTCATGTGCGAACAGTTCAAACTTGGGTCTGACGCACAGGGGAAATTCATTCAGTTTGTGGGCAGACATAACAAGACGTACCAGGGAGGACTACGTCAAATGCAACTGAGCAACAAAAACATGAAGCATTACTGTCAGCCAGGTAAGTCATCTGATCAAATAACTTCTACATTAAAGTTTGTATTTACTGTACAAGAATATGTATATTTTTTTTATGTTTTTTTTAAAATAATCAAATCCATAGATCTATAAATCACAGGTTTAGGGTCAAAGTCACATAGGCGTCCAAACCGGGGGGGGGGGGGCTCAGCCCCCCCCCCCCGGCTTTTTGTTTCCAAAGATAGACATAATACAGGCATTGAACATTGGGGTGTAGTCTCCAAACTTTTTTTTGTTGGTTGAGCCCCCCCCCCCTTCAACAGGCACGTAGCAACAAAATGTTCATTGAAAGGCCGGTCCCCCCCCCCAGTATAGTCAAAGAAGGGTAAGTGGTAGCATATGAAAAAAATAATGGTATTGAAAGAACTTCGATCTTACCCCCCCCCCCCCTACGAAATAGGATTTTCGGGTTTGGACAATTTAAATTACCCCCCCCCCCCCTTTTCAATTTGTTTCTGACGCCAATGAGTCAAACGTGGTTTTCCGTTATTACATTACTGTTACTCTTTTGCAGATCGAAGTCTTTATGGAATTTTCGATTTGTATCTGACAACATTGGGCAACAATGGACTCTTTTACCGAAAGCCTTTACCTGGTCCCGAGATCCGATATGGTACTCAAGCACTTGGAATTTTAAAACAAGCTCAAGTCGATGACGAAGGAAATGTGCGCGGCTGGTGGTTTAACAGGCAACTTTACAAACCACTCTGGTAAGAGAACCTGCGCAACTCAGATGTACTTGTCCGGAATTGATGAGCAAGAAATAATGGCTCGTACAGGTCATCGTTCGGAGAAAGCTGTCCGAAAGTACAAGAGATCGTCTGATAAAATACTTGAAACAGTTAGTTCCGTATTGGATCCGCCCGCACCAAAGAAGATCAAAGTTGAACCACCGACTTGTTCTTTAAATGTCGCTACAGCCGCTGAAGACGAACCCATGGAATTTGATGCGAAATGTTCTAATAATTCTACTTCTCGTAGCACAAGAAGCCCAGGAAACAGGAGTGTTCTCTCGGAAATTACTGAAAGGCTCTGTTTCAAAATTGTCAATTTTCTTTCAATTTCAATTGAATTGGAATAATTCCTATATTCCTTAAGTTTGTTTTATGCAATGTTCTTAATTAATCAACATTTTACATGTATGCAAGTACAGCGCTGTTAGGTTTTAGTTGATGGGTTTTGAATATATGGTATGATTTTGTCATTCTTTGATTAAATTTTGTGTGTTTACAAAATAAAATTAATTCAACCAAAAAAGGGTGTTTTGAAATTTCATAATTGGGAAGTTATAGTACAGTACAGTACAGTGGAAGTTATTGAACAGCTAAGCTCCACCTCCTATAGAAGTTATGGTATGCTGGAATTCAGCCAAAGGTTTTCTATCTCATTTAAAGTATGGCTAACATCAAAGGAAAAAGTACCACACCATGACACAATAATAGACTCAATATCCAATAAAATAAAGCTCCAAAGTATTTAACTTTATTTTTTGGAAATATTTAAAATATTTAGTTTATTTTTTAGAAACCCTTTGATTCTTTATTTTTAAAAGCCTTATGCTTTAATTTTCTATTCAAAGTTTAATTTTATAAAACCTTGGAATGAAAACCAACAAAGTTATAAATGAAATCTACATAATTTTTATTTGAATTTACAATAATAGACAAAAGAAAAACTAAAACAGCATTTACATGAGAAGAACTGGTCGGATTTCCTTCAAAATCTGAAAATGAATATAATATCAAAGTGTTAAAAGGATGAAAAAAAGAAATTGAATGAAATTGAAAAATTGACGAAAATTTTATCCATCACAAAAATTTAGGTGTCAAAGATCTGTTTAGAGAGTGGGCTCAAATATCTTGGGCTCAAATATATTTAATCTAATTCTTCTAAAACTTGAACAGGTATTGAAAAAAGGAATTAATAGGTACATGACAAACTAGGACATCGAAAGAAGTTCGTATTGTATTGTTTTTGAATGAATTTAGGCGAAGACCAACACGTTTCTAGTCAAAACATGTAAAGGAAATTCATAGTATTGAGAGAGGTAGATTTACTTACCGTTTTCATCTAACTTGTATGTACATGTATTATCCTTTGCTACGGATGACATGACACGTAAATGGTCAAAAGCGGGTTAAAGAAATTTGTATAACGAAATTCCTACTTTGTTTCAAATCTGCACGTTTTCGATACAAAACAGCTGATAATCGATGTTGATCAAACGTTTGAGTTAATATAATTCCACTTATTATCGAAGCGTTTTGGTTATTTCACGAAAAGTTTCAATTTCACCGGGTATAACCACACATGTGGGGTGTATACCTGTTGGGAGCAGGGTGTCTCCTCTAGGCGATGGGAAGGTGATACATATGTTTTATCTGTTTAAATTTTCATTTTTGGATATATTTCGCTGGAAAGCATATGCTTTTGAAGAGAAGCATCAATTTAGGACTTTATGGAAACATATGAGTGGGTTTGACACGCAATGATTAAATATCATGGTGACAAGGCTTTGGTTTATCATATTAACTTTTTATTACTTATAATCATATTTTATTTTAATAAATTATATTGTTTATGAATAAAAAAAAAGGTGAAACTGAATACATGTATATTGACAAACAATTCATGTTTAATAAAAGGCTACATTGGTCACTCTCGTCGCCTCGATGGGATAGTCTTCGATTCCATTCAAAATAGAGCTAGTTTACATCTCGCAAGTTGTGTTATATCCGGTGATTTATCGGTGTTCTGTGAATTTGTTTAGGACAGAATCAATTCATTTCGGACCAAAATGGCGTTTCAAACGGAAGTACGCCATGTTGTGACGTTGTAGAGAGCCCCCTTAAGGTAAAGTGGGTCTTTGCTCCATATTTTTGGTAACCAAAAATGTATATTTTTATGCAAACTTTGAGGATCAACTTTCAAAAAAGTGGAGCGAAGACCCACTCATTTGGAAAAATTGTGTTATAGACAGTGACTCTTTTTGTCTGCTTTAGTGTGTTTATAATATTTCATAGGCAAATAATTTCAGTCTTTGAGGGATTTTTGCAAATTGTAGAGATATTTTAATGTTAGATGAAATATCAAGGAAAATTTTGATATAATTGAAATTTAATTTTTCACCTTCGTGTTTGTCACACTAGAGGTTTTTCGCTCGTCATATTCACCCATCTTCTTTTCATTAATATATTTCTTCGAGTTTTATTTTGTTTATGATACAGTCGTTCTGAAATTTGATAAATAGAACAATTTTATTTTGACAAAATCTTTTTAATAGTCTGGAGTTTATTCGGATAGAAAGGAAACATGGACGCCTAAATTGATTTTTATATTTTCATTATAACTACTTATATTATCAACTTGATTTTACATTAAGTGACTGATTTTTTCCTTTAAATTATATTTGCTGAAAATTTGAATTTCGTTATTAAAATATCAATCTCTTATTCAGTTTACTTTCCTTTAAGTGAATTTGTATCTTATCTTGGGTTGCTAATAACTCATGACATTGGTTTTTTTTGTGCCGATTTGTCTGGTTTGCAATTACGTTGGACATTTTAAGATATACTCTGGTTGGCTCTGGGAGATCACTATTCTCTATTGAGAAGTTGATGGCTCGTTTTAATACTCCCCCTCAACTTCTCTACGAAAGGCCTAATAAAAGCAGTTCAGAAATTGACTAAATGAAGAACCAAAACCGGGTCCCACTTCGATCGGTGTTTTAGGATTGATGCATTATCATAGGCATATTTTGGATGCACAGATGTTGTTTTGCAATGGAAATGCGATTAAAAATGCCGATTCTGCTGACTTAAAAAACATTCATCACGGTAGAACACTTACTTGCGATATCTGTGTCACCGGATTCCTTCATTCATTCAAAACTGCGTTTGACCTCTAAAAAAGTCTAAAACTATTTCTCCGGATAACTATTTTATACTGAAACATTTAATACAATTTATCCGGATAAAAAGTTTTAGACTTTCTTAGAGGTCAACCGGGTTCAAACGCAGTTTTGAATGAATGAAGGAATCCGGTGACACAGATATCGCAAGTAAGTGTTCTACCGTGATGAATCGGCATTTTTAATCGCATTTCCATTGCAAAACAACATCTGTGCATCCAAAATATGCCTATGATAATGCATCAATCCTAAAACACCGATCGAAGTGGGACCCGGTTTTGGTTCTTCATTTAGTCAATTTCTGAACTGCTTTTATTAGGCCTTTCGTAGAGAAGTTGAGGGGGAGTATTAAAACGAGCCATCAACTTCTCAATAGAGAATAGGAGATCACCTGATAAAATACTCATGTCAGAACGTGAATTTTTAAAGTGCATATTACCGGTATTTGCCAGTTAACCAGAAATAAAGAACTAATTTTCAGTAAGCAAAACTTAGAATAAAAGTGTTCATTACCTTTCACATAAACATGCAGGTGTAACGATTTTGATGTACATGTAATGATTTTTGACTATATTATTATAGCGAGCGCAGCGAGCGGCGCGAAGCGCCGCTCGTCACTGCGAGCTCTAACGACAACGCCTGGGCGAAGAGAAAATTCGGACTACTGCACATTCATTCAATAGAATTTTTTCCGCAATAATTCTGACCCACAATGCATCGCTTCTTGTTCTCGCTGCTAACTTCGTTCACGCGGTGACAACAACTAAAAATTCACACAAAATAAACTCACCTTAATTTAATGGATATTGCATGCAGATAGTAGATTAAACGTTCTTTGTTAAAATATTTGCACTTTTTAATAAACTTTGTTTATGGAAATGCAGCTAACATACGACGTCATGTGACGTCACAGTCTAGACGTTCCAAATGTCTCGTGCGGTTTGAAGAGGCGGATCATAATAATGAAGTGAACACTGCGCTCGCCCCAACGGTCGTACCGTCAACATATTACTGTGTGTTTATCTATTTGTGATCTTAAT